GCTTGGCCTTGCTCGGGCTTGGTTATGAAGCGGTCGCTCTGCCGGTTTGCCGGGGGAGAGGTGGTCGGAGCCGGCTGCGGGCAGAGCCACCCTGTCAGGCTTGGAAGGCAGGTGTCTTGGGCCTGGAGTCCAGAGGAGGTTTGTCGGGGGGCATCAGCTAAACGTGTGTGTTTTCTTACACGCGGGCACAACCAGTCCCGCTGCACAGGATGGGTTTGCACCTGGATGGGAACCTCCTTGAGGGTGTTTCTTCTGTGTGCTTGGGTCCTTGCACCTTTGGTGCAGGTTCACTTGAACTGCCCGTCTTCTGCTGAGCTGACTGCGGTGCAGTGGAGTTCTCTCGGTGTAGCGTGTGCTGCACGTGTGTGCTTGACTTGATACTGCTGGGGAAGTAACACTTTTTGTGAAGGATGTGTATCACTTACATAGCATGTGAGTCTGCGGGGTGCATGAAGACATAAAAAGGAACTTTGGTATTTTGACTGTGGTGCTGAGTATGGGATGCATCTGAAAGCTTAGAGACTGCATTTAGGTCCTCTTTGATGTGCAGACACTTCGCTCTTTCCGTGTGGTTCTTGATTTGCACTTGTCTGTGTACACAGTTAACCAATTTAGAGGAATGATTTTTGCTTAATATTCTGTTGCACTGTGTCTAGAAAAAACAGATTGCCCTGTAGCAATAAAGAGTGCTGTCACTGCTGTTCTCTGTTAAAGCATAAATCATAAAGAATATGTACTTTATAGGTGTAAATTTCATTTAGGAGAAGTATACATATTTAAGCAATAAAATAAGTTTGCAGCTGAGTCAGACTTGCACAGAATTGCTTTCCTGTGCTTTCTCAACCATTAAAGAAAGAAAAATGTCTGGAAAAAGTTGTTCAGAAAATTCATTATTTTGAAGTTGCATCAAAATGCAGGATCAGGAAACTTCTGTGAAATATGCCTCTTCTATTTCCTTTGCCAAGTCAGTGAATTGCAACGCAGTGTAGGTGGTGAGCAAAAGTTCTTGGCTCATCAAAGCCTCGTCAAAACAAGACATGTTTATGGATTATGACCTTGTGAAGTTAGCTGCTCCCATGAAGATGTTGACTTCTACAAAAGCAGTTTCGCATAGCAAATGAAAAATACTGAAATGATGTATTGTGTTAATTGAGCAAATACTGTTACGGATATTTGTAGCAAAAAGTTAAGCTGGCATTGCTACCATTTCTATGTAGTGATCTCCCTTGTTTTCCATAGTACTTGTTGTGATTGTTTTGATTCTTGAGCTCTTAGGAAGGCTTGAATAAACCAAAAAGTATTACTGTGCTCTACAGCAGTAGAGGCCAGTGACCCATTGTACTGAGCACAATATACTTGTAAGACAGACAGCCTGTGGCTTGTAGTTTGCAGTGTAGGTAGTGTTTGCTTGGCATGTGAGGTACTTGGAGTTGTGAATGTAGTTGAAGTTGTAAGCATAATGTTTACAGTTTAATGAAGATTTATTCTGGTATTTCTGACTAATATTTAGAACCAACAAAGTGTGGGGAGAAAACTGGTATGTTGATGATCCCCTTTCATTTTTATGCATAGGGCTGTAAGTCTGATAGTCCACTGCAGAGTTATAAAGAAGCTTCAGCAGTTTCTTATCTGTATGTTTAGTAGTGTATTCAGACAGGTCCCAAAGGTCTACTTTGCATTCATTTCAGTTGGCAGATGTTTGTAAAAACTTCAGTTAATGCCTTGAAACAATGTTGAAGTTTCAGAAACAGCTTTGAGTTTGGGAGAAAATAGGTAAACCCATACCACTGGAGGAGGGGAATGCTGGCTAACCTTGGCATTCTGTTTAGAGCATCCATGGAGAAGTGGTGTTTTGAATGCACTTCTGGTTCTTCATAATAGTATTGTTAGTGAAGCTCAAGACTTCAGAGAAATGGAAAATTCCATGCTAAAAATATTATGTCAGAGTGTTGGGGAAGAAGAAAAATATTGTTGTCTAATGCAGTCTCTGTCTTTTTTCTTTCCTCCATGATCTCATGTAGCAATGGGTCAAGAAGCTGGCAAACCTGCCTGGCCCGAGCCAGCAGGAGGATATCGAACAATTACAGGTAGAAGATATGGAAGAAGACTTGCCTATGCTGGTTTTAGACCATCTTTGAATTGCCAGGATGGAGATGAATATCAACACAACGAAGACTATGAACGATTAGAATTGGAGGATGCTCAGAAAAAGAATTATTTACGTATGTGCATGTCTTTGTATGTATATGCCATTTAGTTGCAAACTGGGATGTGTGGGGGTGAATGGGGAAGGCACACAGAGAAATGTGAAGGGAAGAGAGTAGCCACTTAAATAACATGTGTAAAGTACACTTCATATAGCTTATAGAATGAAACTTAGACTATACTTTAATTTGCCTTCATGGTATCTTAGGCAGTTTAATTTTGCCCGAAGAAGTATGTTCCTGAATGAGTTAATGCATTCAAACCAACTAGATTGTCATAACATTGTATAACTCAAATTATTTTGTCTGGAAATTAAATTACAAATCACATTTGGAAGAGAATACCTATTCTAAACTTCTGTTTGGAACTAGGCTGTAAAATATTTGAGGGCCAGGTTGTTCTGTCTTTGTCAGCCTTAGTGTAGTTACAGTGGGCATTAGTTTAAGCCTATAGAATATCTTCAAAGGTTCTCTTTTTATTTGTTTATACCAGCCAAACCATTTCTCTTATTTTATGAATACTGAATGTTAGTATTTCCTGAAATGTCTTTTATGACTTTAGCATCTGAATAGTAATTTCATAGAGAAATACAAATTGGCTTGTTGGATTAGAAAGTCCCATCTACTTGTGTGTATGAGGTTTTCTGCTAAAAAAAGTTTGATGTAGTCTCAAATCTTCCAAAGTACCATTTTTTCTCCATCTTTTATAGATTATTTTGAAACTGCTTTTTCTTAATTATCTTTTTTTTTTTTTAGAATAGCATAGTGTTAATTAAAATTTGTCATGTGTGATTGTTCTTGGAGATTGTTATGTGATGTAGATCACCTTGGGGTGGTTTTATTTTTTTTGTAACTCAACATTTTTGCTATTGTCTGTAATTTGTACATTTTCTACACTTTCATCTAAATGTGTTTTAAGACAGTGTTGACACTTGTGAAGATATTCCTACTGTCTCTCTATAATGCTGCTACCTTTCTTGTTTCAGTTACTTGGAAATGAGCGTACTGTTATTCTAGGGGTCATAAGAAATATGCAGTTTGGAGTGTATTATCTCCTTGTTCTTAATATAATTGTACATAAATTTCTGTTAAGTCTAATAACAAAAGGCCTTTCTTTTTATATTTGGTCCTTTTGTGTTATGACTTTTCATATTTCTCTTTGAGAAATGTTTCAGATTGGTTTATTTCCCTTACCTCAACTAGTTTACATTTTTCCCCAGTTGATACTTACTTTTTGGTGGGTGGGTACTACCTCAAATATGTTGCATATTTTCTTGCCAAATTGGCTTGACATACAATATACATTTAAGAACTGTGGAAGATGGGTAGAAGGAGATATTCTTGGAAATACTAAAATCTGACTAGTGTTGGTCTTTGATAACCTACTACAGGTAACTCTGGTTGAGCAAGAAGGGTGGACTGAATGATATCCAGAGGGGCCTTCCTGCCAACTGTGGCTGTTAGTTTTGTGAAGGAGCTTGAAGATTTTAATCAGATAAAATGTAATGTTAAGGTCCTGCTTCCTGCAGGCTAGGCTCCTAGTGCTGAGAGGCACAGCTCTCATAAGAGTCTAGTGCCATGAGTTCAGCAATTTAGGCATGGATTCGCTATTTAGATGGGACTGCCTTTTTTAAATTTCCACTGTTTCCTCACTCCACCTGTTTTTTCAAATAACATGCTAGGGAATCCTTTCAGTTAACCATGCATGTCTTTTTTTTTTTTTTTTTTTTGGTCTTGTAGTTAAGTTTCCAAATCTCATACTATTGACTTAAAAACTTCAGGTACTCTCACCAAATTATGCAAGCCATTGTATGTTCAAAAAGAGTTTGGACTATTGCCTTTGTTAGGAGTTTACAAATTACTTGAACCAAGCATTAATTTTGTAGTACCAGCAGTATACATGTTTTTACCTTCTTTAACTCTTGCTGCTAGGTTTGATATTTATTGTCCCTTTATGCAAGAGCTGTTCAAGTGTAATATAACCAAACTGGAATCTGTGGTGATGGTAACTACCAACTGTAATTCCACATTCATCACTGCTATTTTCTTCTTACGAGGAGTTGCACTCACAGCTGCATATACAAATTAGAATGCTATTAGTATGTAGTTTATACTAGCAACAAATGGCTTTATCTGAGTGTGGCAGGAGACACAATTTAGCCAGTTAATGAATTGATTGTCCAATCCTTATGGAAAGAAATGGTGCAGCTTTTTAAACCTTCCAGTGTTTTTTCAGATTTGCTGTTCTCATCTTAAAACTCCCTTTTGCATAAACAGTGTAAAAATGCTGCTTAGGAACATGTTCCTTTAAAACTTGTTTTTCTACTATCAGGCTGAGCTGAAATTGTGTCATTTAAGTCTATTTCTGTGTACTTACTTTATATGAATGAGAATCTAAATATAGTAGTGAAGAATGACTGCATCTCAGGTAAATGTTACTCTTTATCAAATTGCACTGCAGTCCTAATGAACTCTTTGCTCTTTTTGATGAGTGGTTGTTGTAAATGAGAATATTTCCATTGTTTTTCATTATTCCAATGCATTCTTTCTTACAACTTTCTGTGAAGGTTCCAGTCCATTGGTTGAAGTTTCTTCTGGTTTATTGGATGAGCCTTTGTTAGAAAATATTGGAACTGAAGAACACGTTTGTCAAAATATATCAAGCCGAACGTTTGAAGCGAACCTGTCACCGTTTTCTCTATTCTCGTATCTGGAAGCCAACAAAATCTCAGGGACCTTTATAAATCCCTATGAAAATTCCGAGGGGCTTGCAGAATATGCTTCTGGAGGACGTAGTGATTTGAATGGTCAGAATGGAATTTCTTTTGTAAACATCGACTCTTATGAGCCAGATAGCAGCGATGGAGAGGAAGATGATGCCCAAGATGAATTCACTTTGGCCAGAGAAGAGCCATGTGTATTTCAAGAAACATTAGATAACATGCTTTTTGAGTTAGAAAAAGGCGTAGAGTCTTTTACTGACTTACAGTCCCGATTATCCATTCTCAACCACAGTGCTTCTGGAGAATGTTGTGAAGAAGCAGAACCAATGCCTTTAATGAGATACTTTAGCATGGATTCAGATTTGGTGTGTCCAAACAGGATATTTAGATCTTTTGCTGAAGAGCAAGCCATACTGAATAGTAACTTGAATGGTGCCAATTGTGAAACACAGCAGACAAAAAATACAGTGGATGTTGCAATTGGAACCACTCTACCAACTGATGATGAATTAAATGTCAGTGATAGACAGACTGACCGAGGAAATTCACCTGAGCTAGTAGTGAGACCTAAAATAAGAAAACAAAATACTGCAAACCGGTTGGCGAGAGAGAATCTTCTCCCTAGTGATGAAGGAGGAAGTGGTTCCTGGAGGAGAAGTGCAATTGCTGAAGTTCAGCACAGCCGTGCTGGGTGTGCCTTGAGAAATAGTAAAGAAGGGATGAGTTCTAGTATGTTCTTTGACTCAAGAGAACATGAAGGTCATCAGAAGAACACAGAAATAGACCTAAGGAAAAATGCATCAGCTCAAGACCAAAAAAGTGCATGTGGTGATAGCACTTTTTGGGATGAATTTGAAGACTGCAGCAGATACTTCTCAGTGTCCCACAAAGATGAGGACAGGTAAAATTTCATTTTTATATCTGTGTTTGTATTGAATCTTTTGTGCAAATCTTAATAATTTGTTAGCAGATGGGACATCAAATTTCAAGCAATTTCAGAACATGATCAGATATCAAGACGCCAACTTTTCTTTTCAGTTCTCCTTCACCCTTCCTCAAGTCCATTAAAGAAATGGTAATGTGCATTCTTCTGGTAATGTAAAAAGCCTTTCCTTGTGTTCAGGGCCAAAAGTGCCTTACCATTAAGGAAGATTACATGTATATTTTTATTTTATTTTTACTGACTGGAAGGAGGGTAGAGAGGGAAAAGCTCATTTAGCATTTTTTTTGGCAAATTACGGGCCTTGGAAAGTTCCCTTTGAGACTTGTTATTTTCAGAACGTGTTCTTTTTGCCATCAAATCTCAATATTCTACATGACAGTCTGTATGTTCTTCTCTCCATCCCTTTGAAATAAATTATTCTTCTTTCTTTTATCCAAAGAATAACTTGACAGGACTGCTTATAATCCCCTTGTTTATGGAAAGTTCTTCAGACTAGTAGGTGTTTCCAAAGTAACTGTCAGTGAATACAGTTTCAGATCTACAAATGGCTCCAGCCTGGATGCCAGGAGTAGTATTCAGGTTCTGCCTGGTTTGGGCTCTACCCAGAAGACAACGTAATTTGGATAAACCTTGTGTTGATTAACTTTTACTCATATATTGCTGGTTAAGAACTTTTCACTGTGAATTGGAGTTACGTAACTGAGCTATTGGATGGTAAAAGAAATTTCTAATCTGTTCATTTATGGTATATCCAGTAGTGCTTGCAATGGCTTTAGTTTTTTTCCTATTTTTCTTCTAGTTTGCTTTCATGCTGTTGATTCTATTCCCACTGTGTTCTTTACAAGACATCCTCTGGATGTTGATGTGGCTTTTGTGTGTGTGTGTGTGCGCTTTCCATTAGTCTTCATAAGCTAACCTGCTTAGTAGACTGTGTTTCTACTGCTTTTGTGGAGACAGCAGCATGAAAATTAATCTGCATAAACTCTTGTTCTTAAAATATCAGTCTCAATTATGAGAGAACAAAATCCTCAAGGTGTTTTAAAATGGCTTAGTAGACTTAATTTTGTTTTTTCTTATTAAAGATATAGGTAGACTTACAAATGAAGCCTTTCCTTCCTTACAAGGTTTACTTTTTGTAAAATTGTTGTTACTGCACAATATTTTTCTTTTCCACTTCTGAAATGCTGCCACTAGAAGATTAAACTGCAGTGGAGGAAATGCGCTGTATTTTACAGTTACAGTGCTGGCTTCCATGATGTGAACTGGTGGATTGTTTTAGAGTGACAAAGAAATACAGATTGCATATCTGAAAGTGACTATGTTTATCATGATGGCAGTAACTGAACCACTAGACAAGAAGCATATGTGTTCTTTAATGTAAAAAAACTGTAATTTGTGTTCTAAAACCTCAGAAGACTTACCCTTATGAAGTAAATTGTCAATAATTACTCTGTGCAAAGGAGTAATATGTTTTTCCACTCTCAAAAGATAGTTTGTTTAAAGGGTTAATCCATATTACATGTTTAAATCTATAGCTGTATGAAAACCAGAGCTGGCGTAAATGTCAAATACACCCTGCAGCTGAACTTTCACTACTTTCCAACTCCAGGAGAAATTCACCTTGCTGTTTGCTGCAGCATGGGCCTTCACCTCACACTTCTGCTTCAAGGAAGTGCCCAGCTTTTGTGGTGTTAGTGTGTAGAAGCCATGTGAAAAGGAGGAAGTCTTGCATATTAGTTAGAACCATGTATGCTTTAAGTTGGAAAGGTCATGGTAGGTCCCTGGAGGACAGGGCTGGTGGTGTAAGGATCATATCCTTTATCTCCCTCCATCTAGTTTTGGATCATATGGCAATTACAGGCCAGTTCAGCCAGAGCTGAAACTTTTCTCAGAAAATCCATGTGCAGATGCGAAGTTAATGTGTTATGCTTTTGACAAGTCACAAGTCTGTAACTCTAACTGTTAAGTGATGTGTTGCTTCTCCACAGTGTTGGGCATAGTTAAATCCTGGGTTTTGAAATACATTCGATGTTCTTCCCTTGTTCAGTATTAATGACTTTAGGCGTATCCTCTTTTCTGGTTTGGATTAGTGTTTGTGTACAAACTTGAAAGGGAACAAATTTGACTAACAACATAGGAATATTATTATAAATTGTGTTGAAAATTGTTCCTGAATTGTAAAATAGAGAAAACTAAAATATGAGACTTGAATATTTGAGGTAGTGTTACAGAATGCCTAATTAACCTTTATAAAACAAAGAAAAAACAAACAAAACAAAGGTGCTAAAGTGTTGCTATTCAACTTGAGTTGGTGTAACATAAGGTACATTAGACTGCATATCAGAATTTCTTAACAAATGTAATTTCTATTGTAAGGTGGTCCTTTAAAATATCTCAGAGTTAATGAATATTTTCACTTCCATCACTTTCCCTAGTCCTCAAGATTGTGATAGAAAAATATATTGCTTCTTCAAATTAAAATACTTCATTATGATCTATCTTCTTTATTCTTGTAAAACTTGCAGTGTATAAAGTGCAGTTTTTCAAAAGTACTTGTAATTCAATAAATAGCAAGTTTTATTAGTATGTGCTTGTAATATGATATAGAAGGAGGCTTTCTGTAAAGTGATTTTTAGGTGAGGAGAGAACTGATACACACAGACATGTTGGGTTTAGCAGACTGAAAAGAGAGCTGCGGGTGTTATGGATTGCTGTGTAAGATGTGCTCTATTAAGCATGTTTGCTGTTCACATGTATTAGTTCTCTGTAACTTTTTGAAGTGACATAGCTGTTTGACTATACTTTGAATTTGGGTAAGTGTCAACTGTCACTGCTAGCACTGAGTGAACCTTCGAGGTGGCATTACCAAAGGTAGCAGCAGATAAGCTCACCCTTCCTGAGATTCTGCTAACATCACTGTTTTGTTTAAGCTGGCCACAAGTTGTTATTTACTGCACTTTTCTCTGTGGCGGCTGGGCAAATTCTCTTTGAAAAACTCACTGCAACTTGTATAATTACCCAGTCCAACTAGAGGAATGGCAGGAAGTCATCCATTGCATCTTTGTATAATGAAAAAAAGGGACCACTGTATATGATTTGGATGTTATGAGAGCTTTTATGTTAAGTTTTGTTTGGCTGAGAGGTAAGGCCAACATTGCTCATTGTTTGTTAAGCAAGCATTGGTGTTCTCAGTCACTACTGCTGTCATCTCTGTGTGCTAGGAGAAGGATGTGTATAGAGGGTCTGGGTTTATAATCCCAAATTGCTATATGTACTCTGAAAATGTGGAGGGGGAAGATCAAAAGCTTTTTGCAGAGTGTATGGGCAGAATTCTTTTTTAGGAACTGATTTTTTTTTAATTGGCTCTTTGTGTATACTTGCCTTATAATACATCTATAAATAGTACAAAATTAATTTCTCCTAGAAAAAATAGTCTGAGAGCAATGTTCATAGAAAAGTAGGAAATCATGGAATGTTTGTCTTTTCTTTCCCCTAAAGCAGTGTTTAAATTCACACCCTGTTGCCTTGTTTAAATTGCAGCTCAGAATGCAGTGATGGAGAATGGTCTGCAGCTGTGCCTACCTACTTCACTGCTACAGAAAGAGAACAGTCCTCAAGTGATGAGAGCTGGGAGACTGTTCCAGGCAGGGAGGAGTGTGAGGCTGAAGTTCAGAGCAGCAGCAATGGTGTAGAAGAGAACACAGATCTCTGTTTCCAAGGAGGGTATGGCTTTATTTTATTAGCTAACATCTGGTAAGTTTCAGCTTCAGTGGTAACATGGTATCCACATAACACTACACAGAATAACATCAGTTCTAAAACTGGTTACTATATTAGCAATAATCATTTGCCTACATCAAAATAATCTGAGTAGTTGTACGTATTTCGAATCAGGGGGGAAAAAGTGGCATGTCATGCAAACAATTCTATTCTATGAAAAACAGAGAAATAATGAGGGCATTGATATGTAGTGTCAATAAGTATAGAAGGCTGGATATACTGCCTTTGAAAAGCTTGATAAGGCAAGTTAATTGTAAAGATGCGTATGTTACGTACCTATCTTCTGATACTGTGTAGTGCTGCTTGCAGAGCAGTTGATTATCTCTGCTTTATTGCTTCTCATATTCCATTGCTGCTCTTTATTTCTGCAGCCCTGGCAGTGATAAAAGTACTTGCTTGCTGAGAACTTATTTTTCCAGTCATTCAGTACTTTACTTTATCAAATATATCTCTTTGTTGCAAGGCAAAATTTGTAGCTATGAATAGCCAAAGAAAGTTTTGTGGGTTTTTTCCCCCTAAGCATCTAATATTGACCTTATATTCTTAGTTTGGGTCTTTATAAAGCAATAAGCCTAAATTCTTTCAGCTTCTTTCAGCTTCTTCCAATCTTAGGTAGAAGGTACTTGTTACCAACCACTCTGAATTTGTTACTGCTTTTTTAGTATCTTTGCCTCTAGAGGTTTGGGGAATTAGCATGGCTTTAAGAAAACATTATGAAAACTCATCTGTTTCAGAAGAACAATGATGAAGCTGTGTAGTCTTTAGCTGTATTTGATGTGAACAGCCTGCAAATATACTCATTTCTAACATGATTCCTGTTTATTTAACCTTTGATAAGGAAAGTGGCACTTACAGCCCTGTGGCTCTGAACATCCAGGTGACTTGTGCTCCTCTAGAAAATCTGGGAATGAGAGGAGTCTTTCTCCTTATACATACAGCTTCTCTTGCAAATAATATCACTTTGCGCTCAGGCCTAGTTTCGCCGTGAAAGCTGTTCCAGGGTGTCAAGAGAGACTGTCTTTTTAGTGGCTTTAGGACCTTGTACATGAATCTTTAGTACCAAAATTACTAGCCCTGACAGGGATACTGTCTGTGTTAGGGGAAATGCAAAGCAGGCTACTTTACTGCTGGCCTTGAGCATTAGACAAGTAACTTTGCCACAGAATCATGGGTGTTATTAGATTGTGAGCTGGTGCCACTGGAAATTTCTTGGGTTTTACAGCAAATACCAAATTCCTAGTCTGGAACTCTGCAGTGTGAGAAATATGCAGCTGCAGCCCTTGTAATATGTGTAACTTCTGTTGCTTACATGTGTTTGTGAATTCCCCTAGACTTCTAGTTTTAGCTTTTCATTTATTTCAAGGCAACAGACATTACTGGAAGAAGGAGAGATTCCTTGGTTACACTACCAGGAAGAAGCAGGAAATAGCAGTGATGAGGAAAATTATCCAGTTAGTGATTTTATGAATCCGGGATTCTTCCTGTTGGATGGAAATAACAACCTTGAGGATGACTCCAGTGTGAGTGAAGACCTGGACGTGGAGTGGAGGTATGCCTTTGATAGTTTTCTGAACTAATTTCAGAGGTTTTATAGTTACTGTTTGGTTTTTTACGTTGGATGTCAAAAATACTCATGGCTATCAGTATGCACTTACTTTAAAGGCTGATAATCTGGATTTTAAGGCTTAAGGTACTTCAAGTGCTACACTCCCTCTAATGAGAGATAATGGATGTAGATTTGCTAAAATCAGGCTGTGATCTGACAAAATTGTGGAGCACTAAATATTCAAGGGATGGGTGTTCTTGATAAGTACAGTGCAAGTATAACAAAAGTACAGCAAGATGAATGTAATCAATCAGTGCAATTTTATAACTGGCCTTTTACTTTTTTGCAACTAGTGCAAGTTAGATGTTATAAACCTGTTGTATTTCTGTTTGAAATGCCATGTGCCTACCTAATACCTTAATTTTGAATTCTTCACTCAATTTACTGTCATGAGATTACTGAAGAATATTATGATATATTTATTACAAAAGATCTGCAAATAGCAGGGTCCTGCAAGTGCAGGGTCCTGCACCTGGGGAGGAACAACCTCATGCACCAGTACAGGCTTGGGGTGGACCTGCTGGAGAGCAGCTCTGCGGAGAGGGACCTGGGTGTCCTGGTGGACGACAGGTTAACCATGAGCCAGCAGTGTGCCCTGGCTGCCAAGAAGGCCAATGGGATCCTGGGGTGCATCAAGAAGAGTGTGGCCAGCAGGTCGAGGGAGGTTCTCCTTCCCCTCTACACTGCCCTGGTGAGGCCCCATCTGGAGTATTGTGTCCAGTTCTGGGCTCCCCAGTTCAAGAAAGATGAAGAGCTACTGGAGAGAGTCCAGCGGAGGGCTACAAGGATGGTGAGGGGACTGGAGCATCTCCCCTACGAGGAGAGTCTGAGGGAACTGGGCTTGTTCAGCCTGAAGAAGAGAAGGCTGCGAGGGGACCTTATAAATGCCTACAAATATCTGAAGGGTGGGTGTCAGGAGGATGGGGCCAAGCTCTTTTCAGTGGTGCCCAGTGACAGGACAAGGGGCAATGGGCACAAACTGAAGCACAGGAAGTTCCGTCTGAACATGAGGAAGAACTTCTTCCCTCTGAGGGTGACGGAGCACTGGAACAGGCTGCCCAGGGAGGTTGTGGAGTCTCCTTCTCTGGAGATATTCAAGACCCGCCTGGACAAGATCCTGTGCAGCCTACTGTAGGTGACCCTGCTTCGGCAGGGGGGTTGGACTAGATGACCCACAGAGGTCCCTTCCAACCCCTACTATTCTGTGATTCTGTGATTCTGAGAAAGTGATTGGAGCCATTTGCACAGCCTAATCCTAGAATAGTATAGGTTGTTTGTTTTAAATTGAGTGGGCTAGACAGATGCTTTCCAGTGAGAGACTTCACACTTGCTGTCTCCTGCTTATTAAAAATATTGTAAACTACAGCATATACATACCAAAACCACTGTTTTCTGCTTGTGAAGTTAATTGTGAAAAAAACACATCAGGGACTAATGTGTGAGAGTTCAAGCTAGGAGTAAGGCAGTGTTCTTACACAATCTTGCTAGCAGCAAGCTAGCAAATGAGTTGTAGAATATGGACAAAAACCGTTTAAGTGTTGGAGGTTAGCCTTGGTAAGCTTCCTAATTACTTGAAATATGAAGGAAGATGCTTCTCCAGTAGTCCATTAAGTTTTGTCTGAGCATACACAGTTCTGGACATCATTTTGCTTGTGCCTGTTTTAAGATTTGGTCTCTGAATGTTGAAAACAGAACTTGAAGCAGCTGCTAAGCTATGAACTGTGATACATGATGGAATCAAAATCTGTTGCAGAACGAGCTTAATAGCATACATATGAAACGTATTAGCTGAACTGTATGCCCTTTTACTCCGGAGTAGTCAGCAGTGTAAGTTCCCATCATGTTCTTCTGAAGTCTGTGTTGTCTTGAGTGTACCACTGTAGCTGGAGCAGGTGCTGGCAGAGGCGTCTGTGGGGTGGCCTCTATGAGGAGAGGCCGGGACTGCCCAATGTGGGACACAAGACGGCTCCAGTGGGCCCACTGCAGGGTGGTGCTGTTGCGAAAGGGTAAAAAAAATGCTGCACAGGAGAGAGTGAGAGAGTAGTGAGGATGGTGTGAGAGAAACAACCCTGCAGACACCAAGGTCACAGTAGAAGGGGGAGGAGGTACTGCAGGTGCTGGAGGAGAGATTCCTCTGGAGCCCCTGGAAAAGACCACAGAGGAGCAGGTAGGTGTTTGCTGAAGGAACTGTGCCTATGGAAAGCCCACACTGGAGCAGTTGGTCAAGGACTGCAGCTTCTGGGAAGGACCCATGCAGGAGCAAGCTTATGCTGAAGGATTGCAGCCTGTGGAGGGACCCCACACTGGAGTATGGGAAAGGTGTAAGGAGGGAGGAGAGTAGCAGGGAGGAGCAGCAGGGAGGAGCTGCCATGGATGAACCACAGCTCCAATTCCCCATCCTTCTACAGTGCTTGGGGTAGGGAGACATAGAGGAGTTGGGAATGAAGGAGTGAAGTTGAGTCTTGGAAGAAAGGAAGGGCCAGGGGGAAGGAGTTTTAGGTTTTTTTTCTCACTGTCCAAATCCATTTTTACTGGCAATAAATTTGTAGAACAACCCAGATTGGAAGGGACCTCAGAAGATCACTGGATTCAACCTTCCAGTTACGTTAAGGTTCCCCCTTATGTTGATTCTGTGCCAGTGGTGGTGATTGAGTTGAGGTGAGGGAGTGAGAGAGCAACTTGGGTATCTGGCAGCCAGCCAAGGTCAACCCAACACAACCCTCTCATGAGAGTATATGCACACAGTTGTTAACAGGTGATATGCAGTAATTTGATGTACCCAGTGCTTTTGTTGTTACTATTTCCTTTGAAATGAAGACCATGTTTTCTAACTCATGTTTTTCAGACTACTCGATGAGTTTGGTGATGGCCTAGGACTTGCTCAGGCCATTCCTTCTGTCAGTACTCAGTTTCTTACGTCTATGGCACTAGAGGCACGCTTACAACAAGCTATGGAGGTATTAAAATACTCTTGATGTTATGTCAGTGATGTTGTGACATAAGTTTTTATTACTGAATCCTTTTTCAGCATAATCTGCAAATCAGGGGAAAATTACTTTTCTGTTTTAGCTCAAACTTTCAGGACTGCAAGCTTGAAAATGAATGCTGGAAGTTCTTTTAAATGATGTAGTGCGAGAAGTCATTGATCAGTGCTACTTCTTTTAGAATACATATTTTCTCTTAAAGCAAGGAAAGATACTGATTTCTACCAGTATAAACATACGCTATTTAAATTATTCTAAAGAATGTTGCTAAATTCCCTGCATAACAAAGGGAAGTCTATACTTGAATCTGTGCCTATGAGTTGTCCCAGCTTTTTTTTGCAAGAGTACAATTGAACGGCTTATATTTTTATTCCTCAGTTGAAGATTTTTCTGTTAGGGTCTTATCTCCATGTATTTTAAATTTAAAAAATACCAACACAAAAAACCCCACCCAAAAGCAAAAAAGTATTTTATCTTTACCTTGTTCTAATCTTGTTTCATCTGTCTAACTTTGAATCAATCAGAGCATTTGTTATTGAGAACCAGCACGGTTACGATATCTCTTTTCTGTGTTACGTGACATTGGTTATTGTCAGAGTGAATACAGAGCTAGCTGAAATTCACTTTGTAATATGACATTCTGGCACTGCCAGAAATGTCCCCTGCAGGGTATTTGTCTAAGCGTTAAATGATGTGTAGCTATATAATATGGTGTTACAACAATTAAATTGAATGCTTTGTGTGACGTAAGTTTAGGGGCATCAAGGGGCAGTTTGACTACTAGCTCTTGGTTAAAAGGGGTGAGCAGGGCAGACTATATGTCATAGTGTGCTTGCAGACAAAATACCAAGGATACTTTAAAATGCTTTCTAAAGCTGACAGTAAGTGGAACAATCACAGACAATTTTTTCCATGGATGTGTGCAAAATCAATGAATTTGTCAATAAACTTCATGGGGATTTTCCAAGGAGGTTGAAGCATTGTTCCCTGAAGTTGGCAGTCATTCAATTTCCAGGTATTGGGCATCCCCAAGGTGTATGGGAGGACAGCATTGTTCATGATCAAGTACGACAGGGTCTTCTCCAGCTATGGAAGATCTTGTTAGCATTACTCATCTGGAAACTCTTCAGAACTGCTTATTAATGTGTAGGAGGTCTGATATCCTTACTATAAAAGCAGTATTTTGAAGTTGTATAGAGAAGACTCCTTGTCTCTTTCATAGCTGCCAGTTCTCACTACATCAAAAAGGACAGAACTACAGAAGCAGTTGACCTCCTCCTTCACACCAAAGCCAGAGGATCTGTGTAGAGAGGGGAAACTAATCACATCTCCTTTTGTTAGTCTATATGTTAACATTTGAAGAGGGGACTGAAGTGGTTATGGCTCGGAGTTTTTTTCTTTCTCATTACTGTGTAACAGTATTTCCCTAGTTACTCTGTCAGAAGAAACCTGTGCACTCTTGACAGGCTGACCTGTAAAAGCAATCCTAGGTGGCTGTGTGCATGGCTGGCTGAGAAGGTGCTGTAATTATGTTAATGTCAGCAGGAATGGAGTGTTATTGAACATACTTGGCGAGCAGGTAGATGACTACAAAGGTAGTTATTCTATGGTACCTCTGGTACAGGCTAATGTGGATATTGAACAAGAGGGAAGGCAATTCTTTTAAATAGTATTTGTGCTTGAAGTTAACTTTTAAGTGTCTGAAACTTTACAGTGGGTGTAAAAGGCTGGTGTAACTGGATTTAGTCAGCAGAAGATGGTAACTGAGTAATAAAAGGAACAGCTGTATTGACTGTGACTAAATGGACAACACAGGTTTTGAGTAAGAATTGAGTAGTTCCTCCAAATCTTGAGTAGAATATAGAGCACCTCTCTTTCCAGTATGAAGATGGTTACTAAAACACTTCAGAAAATAAGATCAAGGATTACCTAAATCTGTTCAACATCTCTTAAGCAATATTGCAAGTATTTCTGGAAGTTGACACAGTGAAGAAAAAAAGACTCTATAATGTCTGTCTATCCAGAATTAATTTAAATTGCTTGAGATCCTGTCTTTTAATGACCACAGAAAGATGTAGACAGGATCAGGATATAATATATTCTCCATTCTAGAAATATAGGACTTGCAAATGTCTAGTCCAGTGTAATCTCTTAAGAAAATACGATGTGACCCTGTCCCTGACAGGATTAACATAGACTAGAAACTTGAGTTCCTGGAAGGTGTTTAAAGGGTGCTCTTTATATCAGCTTTCCTGTTGTGGAGTGTGCTCCACAAATCAAAAATGTAAAATCTTCCACTGGAATAGTACAAATCTGTGTTACAAAGCCTTTTCCTTATCTTTGGTACAGTGGCACAGTGCTTGCTCAGATATCCAAAATGTGGCATACAGCATTTTCAGGGGAAGAAAACAAATTTTAAAAATTGATCTTAACAACACAAAAGAAAACTGAACTATCTTTTCAAATTTGGGTAAGAGATTGCTGAAAATGTCTTTGCTTTCTGCTAGAAAAAGCAATTTCTGGTTTTCCATTTGTAGGGTGTTTAGAAAACATCTGTAATGTGACAATTTTTGTTCTGTAGTTTGTTGCACTGTGTATATATATGTCAAGTGGAGAGTTAGAGATCACTGTGAGGGGTATCAGTAACAAAGGTCAGGGTCATCAGGCTTGAGAGCTCTTTGAGGAAAGTGAAAATTGAAGCTAGTTGCCTTGCTTCCTTATGATTGGTATTTTATGCTCCTCATCCTTCTGCCCAAGAGTGAAGCGAGTGATTTCATCCATTCTTGACATAGGTCATGATATTTCGGGGATCAGGACTTGTTCTAGTTTTGATAGGCATTTTTCTGCAGGGTGATTAGGTTTCAGTTTCACTCCATACTTTTTCTGCTTGTTTTGCAACTTGTTCTCAACTTCCAGATCTTACTGGTTGCATGCATGTTTTCTTTCTCTGAATGACTATACCCCAAGCTGGTTTGCCACTTTGAGTGTGAGTATATGGATAATATGTAACTGCAGCTTTCTAACAGGCTACTTGTTGCCAGTTATGCTATTTTAGTATTATTTAGATATGGCTTTAGGGCAAACAGCTACTAATTAAATCTTGCTTGGGCTGGTTCTACCTTATGGATGCAACATACCCCTACTGTTTCAGGTTTAAAAAGTAACCCATCTTCTTCCTGATAATAAGTATTTTTGCACCAGAGGTTTTGTAATGGAGAAGTCTGAGTTTTGACTAGCTTTAACTATTATTCTGATGAGCAGATTAAGTGGAGTTTAATTATAAGATCATTAATAATATGTCTAATGATTGACTTTATTGAACCTGTTCCTGATTTACATCATATACCTCAAGTTTCCCAAAATTCTCTTATCTAAAACAGTAGATTCATTAACCAGATCTTTTTCACCTATAACAACATAATTTATTACAAGAGTCTATATAGCTCAAATTTCTGAAAAATTTTCTATCAGCAAACTAATTTGGTGTAGCCATGAAACACTTGAAAGGGATGTGACATGGTAATGCATCCAAAATTCAAGTGTATATTAACTAGGGTGGGGGACATCTGTCACAATTGTGACATTTGGAGGGGAGAAGTGGTGAATACATTCAATTTTTTTTTCTAAAAAGCTATATTCTGTGAACACTCTGGGATCATGAAATGTAATAAACTGTATGTGATTTATTTTTGTTACTTGCATTTGTTTTCAAGAAATTACTTAGCTGGGAGTGTTTGGTTTACTTCATTAGCAGTATAGAACAGGTTTGGTGTCTCTGCACTGTTGGTGACTTCATTTATGAATATTTCCTGTGCTGTTTCACAGACGGGAGGAACTCAAACCCCTGTAGGCTATAGCACTGCTGGTTTTAGCAGTGTCCAGCATTTGGTTTATAGTACATGGAGCAGTAAGCAGTTGCGCAAGTAATAAGAGGAAGGAAATAAAGGTATCTTTGAAATTGTAAAGGTATCTTATAAAAGTTGTAAAACAGACACTTTGCTCTGCTCTGGTTTTGAATATGTGGTTTTAAGCATGGGAGTCATTGTGAGGCTTTCTGTCTGTGATGTTTCTTTTGTGTAGCTTTTGAAAGCAAACAATACAATGCTTTTGTAAATAGTTTTCTGTTTGAGAGTACTGATACTGGATATAGACAGAGAGGTTTGACACATAGGCAATATTGCATCCTTTTGTTTGCCTGTGATCTTACCTGTTTTTTCCAGCTTAATGAAGTTAAGCACAGTATTTTTACCAATAAATGATTCTCAGACCATTGCAGCTGTGTGTTGAATGACTTCACGGGCCCTAGTCGTGTGCTCAATCAGAATCATTTTATTGCTCATACAATACAATAGTTACTAGAACCAGTCGGCTTTGGATTTGTGGCTTTGCAAATGCCAGTTCACGGTTGCTGTTTTCCAGGATCTTTTGCAGCTGGATGTGTGAAAACAGCTTATCTCATGAGAAGAGCAAAGGGAGGCACAGGATGCGCTGATCCTTCAGGGTCATGAGACAGTGCTGTTCTGTCTCAAGTAATACGGTTTCCCACAGCTGTACCAAAATACCATTACAGATACTAAAATCATCTTAATTTTAGTAAGGCTGTATTGTCTGCTGTAGCAGAATTGAATGTTTTTAAGCTGTTAAACTGGATGAGTGTACCTGTTTTGCAGGTGGACTTTCACACTGCACTAGAAATAACTGTCCCAGGATTTCCTTGGAATTTAACAGATTTCTAGATAAGAATACATGTGACAGTAGGGGCTGTAAATATATGTCTGTTAGCTCATGCTGATCTCTCTGCCACAAGCATTTGACTGTAGGTATAAACCTGGTAGTTTAGGTCTGTGTGGGTTGGTTGCCTGAGCGCCCTTGCCTAAGTGCAGGCATGTTTCCAGGCTGTAGCTCTAGTAACTTTCTCTGAAGCTTAAAGACTACTGAAGATGTTTGTGCATAATCCAAAGTTCCTCTGGTATATTTTTAGTTCTTTAGTTGTGTACCCCCAACACTACAAAACTGTCAGGTTATCTTAAACTTCTTATCAAGGGAGTTTTGTGACCATTACAATCAGTGATTTTCATGCTGATTAGAGCAGTGAGTAGTTGTACTTGAGGGGTGTGACTAGTTCGTTCAGGATATGAACTCAGTGCTGCTGTGTTTTTGGCTCTTCAGTTTGTTCTGCTGTTCAGACAGGTATATCTAGTACATTTCTTAGTGAATATAACTAATCTGAGTTCTGTATTGCATTTTTTCTACTGGAGATCCTTTCAATGTCTCATGGGGTTGAATGTATGACATTAACATCAAATCTGCCTGCTGTAGCATCCGTCTTAAAGATTTTGTATGGTGAAAAATTGAAGTTTCAAACAAGATCACTTCAGAGCACTATGTCTGTATTAAGTCATTATACAGATGAGAAACATCTGTGTGGATCCTGTTTTTTCTGAAAGCTTTCATTGGTAGTGTAGCTGAGGTCCTTAATATTTTTGTTTGTAGCTGAGTAATTAAATAGTTAACGCCAGAAAACACATCAATGGGGCTTTTATTTTCAGAAAGTGAAATGTAATGGCAATTTTGTATTAGCAAGCTTTACATTTTTAACTTGCTGCCTTTTTTGGTACTTTAAAATGAGCAAATGTTCATTAGAGGGTAAGTTGTGACTCTGTCCTGATACTTTCAGAAGGCTTGAATAACAACCTGTTACTGTTTTGACCTTCAGTTTCAACTCGCTCATTACAATAATAAAAAGAATGTAATGGTTAGTTTGGCAGACATAACTTCCATTTAAGAAAGTAATACTATTAGAATTGGATTCCTTTTCTTGCTTATTTGTTTTTATGTGGAATGTTACATTTGTGAGTAAGAGAACTCGGTCTCTGCTCACCCTTTTCAGGCTGCTCTGGCACATTTGCAGTCTATTGGATTTGATGTTGAACAAGCTCATCCACCAGCTACAAAAGAAACCATAGATTGTCTGCCACAGATTATCGTCACAGATGACCATGATGGTATGGAAAAATAATTAAGAATTAATTTCCATAAAGTTTATAAGAACGAAGTTAGCTGTAATACCATAGATGCAGTACTTCAACATACTGTTTAGCTGATAATGCTGTTCTAAGAGCATTTGGTTCTTGAGTCAAACTGAGCAGAACTTTGGTCAGTTTGGAAAACTCATCTTTACTGGAGTAAGTGTGATTGTATTTTGTGATCATTAGTGATGCTGTTGATAATATGTGTATTTTAATTTTAGCTCGTCTTAGTTGTAAAACAAGGTAATAATAATGCTTTTTCTTCATCATGGGTGTAGGTGAAGAGCAGTGTTGCACCATCTGTTGCTGTGACTATGTAAAAGATGAAGTCATAACAGAGCTACCCTGCCATCATTTATTTCACAAACAATGTGTGTCTCTTTGGTTACTGGAGGTAAGTACTACAGGGTTGGTGGGGGTTTTGTGGGTTTTTGAGTGTTTGCTTTTGGGGAGGAACAGTTGCTAACTTCTTGAAAATGTGGGATGATGTACTGAGAAATAACTGGCTGTTAATTTTATGCATTATGGAACCAAATTCTAGTCCAAGTGAGGAACACAATTTATGTCTGTACCCACCTGAAGGCGATTTCTTGAATGGAGGAGGTATTTTTGTGAGGAAAAACATGGCCTCCTTTTAGTAGGAATGAGAGATGGATGAGTTAACTTGTTTTGGTATGGGAAAAGCTTTTTTAACTGTACTCATACCTTGAAGAAGGTGGCTTGGTTTTCTCTGCGAAGAGTAAAGGATCTGATCTGTCTTGCCAGAATGTCAGGCCCATTTATGGTGACAGCTAAGGTTGGCAGGAGAATTACTGAAATGCTTGTAGATTAATTTAAAAAAGTTACCTTTGGCAAATCTATATTGTATTCGATTTCACTTTCATAATCTGTAATCAGCTTCCTTCCAAATGTCTGCCAAAAGCTTACATTGTATTGAGGCTAGCCTAAAAGAACTGAATTAACAAATTGTTTTTTTTCCTTGCACTTGCACTCTGCTTTATGCACAGTATGAGCCTGGGCTTGCTAGTTCGCAGAGAGCCTACAGTGTAACACCTCGTTTACTCAAGAGGTACGAAGGAGAATTAATTGATTTAGGCTAGAGAGATCAGATCAGAACACCTCTAGCATGGCTTGTTACCTTAATAGTGATTGCCACATTGAAATTGCTTGTATTATGTCTTGCCTTGTTCTGCTGTCATAGTAAACTGCTCTTTCTGAAAACTAGGCCAAAGTACTTACTACTACATTTGGGCTGTACCTACTTTACTTTTAATCCTTGCCTCAAAAAAAATTCCCATCTGTGAAATCAATCCTTTGAAGAAGTTCTTGCAGAGAGCCTGATGTATCTGCTGTGTAACTGGTCTAAAAGCAAAACAAAAATTTCTTTTGAGATTGTTAGCTGTCTCTTCGCTCCAGGTAGCCATCCAGCCAAATTTGACTTTGACACAGTGCTGTTGTGAAGATACTTCATAAAAAATAACCTTTAGTTTTTCAGTGGAATTGAATGCAAACTGTGCAAATGACCTGGGATTTTTCTTCTTTTTTGTAGTCAGGAACATGCCCGATTTGTCGTCACGTGCTTGCACCCATGTGTCCTGAAGCAACTGCTGCCACTAATTCCTTTCTGTCTGATCATGATTCAACATCTTCTGTTCATGGTGCTACAGGAGCTTCAAACTAGGGTCTGAAATTAAATCTTTGCAACCAAAAATGTAGATTTTGCCTGTCTAATTACAATGTGAAAAAAGATGTATAAAATTAATTGTAAAATACTGTCTGTATTATATGTTTCAGTTTTGAAAGACGCTGCAAGCCTTTCTAAACTCTTTACGTTTGCAATAATACTTTAAATTTCCAAACTTTTAAGTTAGAAGTATGTGCAGCCTTTTTTCTTTGCAGAATCTTGCTGATAAGTGTAATGTCTAAACTTTGTATTATGATATTTTTTCCAGAAAGATAATTTGGTACTTTGTTTGGGGTCTTGCAGCTGCAGTGCAGTTGCAGCTTGTTAAAGTTATGTTTACGGTCAGTTTTATGTAATCTGAACTATTAATTTTATCTAAGTTAGTGCCACCAAGAGACTTTGTAATCGATCTCTCATATTTGCATCAAATGTGAAGATGTTCTGTGATAACAGCAGTGGTAGAACTTGATTTCACTGGAAAAAACTGCATAACTGAACAATATTTCTTACCAGTTTATTCAATAATAAAGTCTTTCCTAATGTCAGAACTGCTATTAAATTTCTGCTGTCTGTGGTTTTTTTATAAATTCTACCACCATTTTTAAGCCTGTGTTTTGAATAAGTGTAAGAACTATGGAACTTCACCTGAAGAATCTGAAGTTCTAAGTTTCTACGAATTTGCATCTATAAGAGCTGGGCGGCTGGTTCCTTCAATTTCTATTCAAATTCCATTCTACTGAATAGGTCTCCTGCATGCATGCTCTCTCTTTTTAGGATGTATTTATTTTTATAAATATTGGAGCTGGGGTTGCTTTCAAATGCAGATATAGTTAAAATATTTTTGGCTCTTGGTGTCTTGAGTCTGAAAAACATAGTAGAAACTTCACACACTTAATTGAAAAATACATTTGAATACTTGGCTATTAGTATAATTGTTGTAAAGTTCTTTCACAAATTTAAACACTATTGAAGTTTCTGGTATTTGCACAGGTTGCAGTGGGTTATGCTACACTTAATATTATAAAGGAGAAAAGACTGGTTTCTAAGATGCATTTCTATAAATAATACGCCAGTATATGTGAAAACTTTGAAGGACATGGAGTTAGTCATTATGGGACAGAAAGATAATGTTTGGATGTGTATGTACTAATGGCTGCACAAGAACTTTTCTGTACCCATTGGATAGACGCATGATTTTTAAAATGTTGGTGCAGGGGAATAATATATGAGGGGGTCTGCTCCTTGGGTTTTCACTTATGTAAATCCAAAGTGTCAAGTTATAAGGAAGCCAAAACAATAGGATACTAGTGAAAAGTGGGAGATGCCTAGCTCCTTTCCAGCTTATTCTCCTGTATTAAAAGTCTGTATTTGCTGAAGGAGGCATCAGTAGGATTTGGGCAGACAGACAAGGAATGTGTATGTCTAGGCATACTCACCAGCAGAATTCATACCAATCCAGGAAGTGCTGTAATCTTTGGCATCTCCATTGCAGACTAGTGCTGTGAAGAGTGGTTCACCCATGGCTACCAACTGCCCCAGACAATAAAATAGTAACACAGCCTTTAAAGCTCATTTAAGATGTGTATGAGATGTTTGTAGATGGAAGAGAAAGTAGGGATTAAGGCATCTGTATTGTTTGCAGGGGAAAACACCAGAATGATGGACTTGCTATCAAAATTGTTCTTTGGGGCCTTTTGTTCTTCATTAGCTCCCCCTGGAGCAGATGTTACAGGTATTTTTAACCAGCCTGTGCATTGTTTCTCTCTGGAATGGCACTGTATGTTGACCTTCATTTAATCTCTTAAGCACAGTGTTTTATAAAGAGATTTACTTCAAATTCTGTGACAAGGTTTGAAAATCCTCTTGCTAGAAGCTTTTGACTCCAGACTTAACCAGCAGTGTCAAGAGCTAAGCTAGAAGCTTTCCTTTGTTATCTGTTGCTGGCCTCAGCTCTGACTTGTTCCTATTTCTAAACAGCTGCCTAATAAGAAGAGGGTTCATGTTCTCTTTTTTCTTTTTTTAATGTGAATGGAGGGATCTTATTTGCAGATTTTTTCTGGCTCCTCATCTGAGGAAACAACAGATGAAAAGTCTTTCTAACAAAGTGTCTGAAAAAGCATATGCTAGGTCACATTCAAGAGGTTACCAGTAGAAGTGTTTTCACACGAAACAGAAAGTAAAAAAATCCAAACCTTTGGATCATGTCCAAATGTTTGTTGCAATGATTTTTTTTTTTTTTGGTAAATGAAGTCAGAACATATTGCTGTTTCAAATATAAAATTTGTTTGGTTAAAAAGGGTCTAGTTCTTGAAAAGGCCCTGCAAAGTATAATGTTTTTCTAGAATTAAAAAAATTTATTTTCTTTATGCTCAAAGAAAATATTCTAGACATTTTTAAGTAAAAACTTTTAGCTGCAAGGAAGAAAATATTTTTGCCCCATGTTAGGCAAAACCAAGCATTGCACAACAATGTGAAAGCAAATATGAGAAATAAGCTTGTTTGTTAAAGGTTCATGTTGTCTATACATGCACTAGTACGTTGGAAGCATCTAATTTCACTATGTAAACTGCATTCATTGTAACATTTCCATAAAACGTTTCCATTCCACAGTTAAAATGGGTTTTGTTTGTTCTTAAAAAACCCAACAACAGAGCCTTTCTTGTGTTCTGTTTCCTCCTTTCACATTCTGGTAGGTTTTGAAAGGATAAATTATATGTTTTGGTTATCAGATTCAGGTAACAGATTTTTCTTAAATAGCCATAATTAAAGAAATGAAGGTAGTGTGAAAAAAAACTTCAAGTCACAGGGGAAGTTCCCTCAGTTCTTGTGCCTGCATATATCTCGATTTTGGTTAAGGTTACTTGGGGAGCAGTCTGGTAGCAGTCACAGCTCTGCAGCCACCTTCCTTGTTAAACAATGCAGAAGGCTCCTAGTTCCCCCCACGTTTCCTTATTCTTTAATTATCTCCCAGATTATCTCCCAGATTTCATTTGCCTTTTTGCATCTGAGGGCAGTTTCCTAAGGGATCCCATGCACTAGTGCTTGAAACAGCCAAAAGTTTGCACTTTGAGGTTTAGGGTCCTGACTCTACTTTTTATCTGTCCACCCTCCTGGCTACTCAAGTAGTGGGCATCGCCCTTCCAGGAGATATCCTAGCTATGGTTTCCACCCATGGGAAAGCTGTTGCCAGAAGGAGTGTGGGGACCCAGACGGGGGCCCCACGCAAGAACGCAGGTGTCCAGGTCCCTGGCTGCAGGGAGTGCCTGAGCCTGGCGCTCGTACCGGAGGACAGCAGAGACAACGGCTGTGTTCGGTGCGAGCAGGTGAATGACCTGCTCAGCCTGGTGGCAGAGCTGAAGGAGGAAGTGGAGAGGTTAAGGAGTATCTGGGAGTGTGAGTGGGAGATCAACTGGTGGAGCCGCACCCTG